TCGGAAGAGAAACTCTAAATCCATCTCCGCTTACAGGATCCGAAGAAATCGAAGTCCGACCCGAAGCAATGCTTTTGAGCCGGCGCATCACGTTCATTTTCGCCTAGTCAGAGCCACCAGCACCCAAACCCTAATCTCAAATCCCTTCCCCACCGATTCACAAGGAGAGAGAAAGAGAGAGGGAAAAAACGAAGAACAGATTCAGATATTCAAATTATCATCCGGCTCGTTCTTCTCCCCTCCACTCGCCTCTCTTCTCCTCTCCTCCTCCACCTGAATATCAACGACGAAGAAGCCCACAAAACCAGCGATTCTTCAAACAAAAAATAAAGAAGAAGAAAATTTTCTCCCTCCTTCCCCTTCGCCCTTCGTTTTGTCTCTCCAGAGCCCAATCAGGTGGAATCCTTGTTCTTAAATTCCTAGAGATTGGGTTGAGAAAACTAGAACGGCAGAAGCTGCACTGGTCAAACTCTGATCTCCAACCGTCGATTAATCCCAGTAGCTCATCCGACGGACGAAAATAAATGTAACAGATTTACGAGAATAGCCTTGGGATGGCCTGATATTTACGGATTTGTCATGATGGGAATGATTGGTGGAGGCACGCGTGATATGCGGGGGGGGGGGGGGAGCTTGACCTGTTTTGACCGCTGCCTTCTTTTCGGGGAGCTTCCAAAAACCCTTTTTTTTCCCATTATGATGGTTCGATATTAATCGGTTTGCTTACAGAAGAGAGTAGGTCCGAATCAACACAATTATTCAGAATTAATTATTATTTTTTTATGAGCATTAAAGATGAATTCTAAAAGAAAAGGGTTAGGCTGTCCGCTTACCTAAAGAGAGTGGTCATTAGTAACAGGGCCCAGGCCCAACAAGAGGAAAACGAGAACTACGAGAGTATATTGAGATGGTGGGCAGGCCCATCACTGAAGCCCAACCTATCTAGGCACTTGCCTGCGTGCGTGTGTATACCAATTCAATTAAGCCGAAAACGACGACGTAACGTCCGCTTCTAGTAACATCAGTCACCAGACTGTCGCTCGATGACGTGGCGGAAAGCCATTGGAAGACCACGTCAGCCGAGAGCCGAAGAACCTTTGCATTAAATGAAAGCCTGCCATTACATTAAATGCTTGGGGGACAGCCTTTAACCTAAAGCCAAAAGAACCCACCACACTACCTTCGTAACAGAGCCCTCCTATTCACCAAAGCCGCACATCGGAGGCGCGTGCTCTTCACACCCGATATGAACAAAAGCACATATTTTACATATACGACATGGAAAGAATCACACAAAAGACATCTATATGTATATATAGCTGGTCCGTTAGAGCCACAGATTAAACGGGGTTTCAGACCCGAGTCAATACCCGAACCACCACCCTTCACAGCTACTCAAAAAGACGGTTTCGCCCTTCCGAACGCCATGAAAGGAGTCGGCTTTCACCCCCACGCGCGGTTCGTTCTTGACTCGACACCCCCATAATTAAACAACATAAGAAATGGTTAAAAAAGTTTTTTTAAAGGAAAAAAAAAAAAGAAACCACAAGGAAGAAAAGGCCGAAGGGAGGCAGCAGAGATCAGCTGTCGGAGTGTAGGGCAGCCCGGATCTTCTGAACGGTGCACGTTATAAGGTTGTTAACGGTCTCCACCGACTCCACCGTCAGTTTGGCGGTGGGGAGGCTGTTGACAAGTATCTGAAACGCCACCGTAAGGAGGGACCCACGGGGGGCGGGGGGACGAGGCGAGACCCCACCGCCGTGGGGGGAGGCGGGACCACCTCCGGCGGG